TCTTGCTTTCGGTATAAATTCCGCAAAAGTAATGACACTTATAAAAGATATTTTCTTTTTTAATATTTGCGATACGCGTAATTAGTAACACGGAATATGCGACTAATTTAAAATTTGAAATCACCTTCCTTTCCCCTTCGAATCGAGCTTCACTCTCATCTGCGTTATTAAATTCTCGTTTCGTCTTTATATTCTTAGATCCATTGTAGAAAAAAAAAAACCCCACAGTCAGACAAGGAAAGCGACATTGGTGAACGCAGCGGACAAACAGAAACAAAGCGAAATGGAAAATAAGAGGAAAACGAGAGACGAAATAAAAGATAAATAGAGTGAGAGCGGGCAAAGAGAGAAAGAAAAAAAGAACGACAGGGCGGAGGAATGAAAATGCGAACAGATAGAGACGAGATAGGAGAAAGGAAGGAAGGGGAGGGGAAACAGAGAGAGAAGTGAACGACGCGTGAGAGACGGAGAGAACACGCAGGAGAGGAAGAGGGTTTATGTTCTAAAGCCTACAACCCACCCCCTATAAATTCAGCCAGAGGGAGGGGGGAGGGTTCCATTAAAGGGAAACTGTCGTTGCGGGAGTGTTTCTGTCGAGCAGCTTAAAGTTGGATGGAACGTTCCGACCTAACCTATAGGGTCACGAAGATATGAGCATATCTCGCTTTAAAGCCAACTTCGAATTCTATCGCATCCCGCTGCTAGACCCTCATGGATTACCCCCCATCTTCTGCGCGCGATTTCTCCTCGTTTCTTTCTCTCTTCCTTTTTTTTTTTCTTTTTCTTTCTTTTGTGGTCTCTCTTGCAGAGACCCTCGTGCAGAGACGCGTCTCTGACGTTCACGAATCGCCAGCCGAACACCGAGGGTGTCGAGAACGCGACAGGGATTCCCCGTCGATTGGAATGGCAGCATCGTCGCAAATTAGAGGCTACTCCCTTTGGCCGAGGCAATGCTGTATTATGGGATTCTGCGACATGATCAAGAGGGGCCTGGTAACCACGGTAGCGTTACGGATCGATCGGTAATACCGCGATCGATAATGCATCCCCCGCAACGTTCCAACCAAAGCTGATGGTATATTATGCCAGCGAGAATGAACTGTTACGTGTTTACGGCTGAATTTCGTTTCAAACCACCCTAAATGCAATAGGATATTTCGTTCAATTACATTGTATTTATTACGGGACTTGCGTACTAATTAATTAGGTCCAATTGTATTGGCTTTCACATGAATATAAAAACGCTTCATCGGGGAATCGAGATTACGTTTGTACACACGTGCTTTCTGCAGTAACTGTAGTAATCTTTAAATTTAGAAACAGGCATTTTTGGCATTCCATTAGTTAAATGGAAAAGAGAGAAAGGAGCGTGAAATATTTAAGGTTAAGTCTAAAGCAAAGCTTAGCTTGAGCATGGTCCATCAATGAAAATGCACGGGTGTGGAAATCGCTTTTCATTCGGGATATTTCTATCAGAACTTTTTTTCTTTTTTTTTTTTTTTTTTTTTTTTTTATAACACTCCACGTGCACTGTGAGATGCACGTGGCGCACATTGAGCGACATTGGTCGAATTGATTTTCACACTTGTGCCTTCTCCCTCTGTTAGCAAAATGTGAATCAATGCAACTTGGTCCCGAGCAACGCTTCTTCGCAGAAATACGAACGGATAGTAGAAAACTACATCATCTACATATATAACGTCGTGCAAGTATGCAATACTGTAATGAATAGGAGGAAAAACGAGGGTAAAATACGTGTATATGTAATTGCAATAGGTATACGGACATGGTCTACCGTATCGACCGAGGTCCACACGATTTACAGAGAAGAACTGTTTATTCGTTTAATGACCAATTATGATTGTAATTAACGATTCACGAAAACAAATAGCACGTCGACGAATAGCATGAACGCATGAACAGAAAGAAAAGAAAATTCATCTGAGACGTAACGTGAAAAAAAAAAGATTGTATAATCTGAGAATAATAGCGATCGATAATTATAATTATAATTCAATTCTAATTATTGTGATAATATTAATAATCGCAATAATAATAATAATAATGATAGTAATAATGATAATAATAATAATAACAATAATAATAATAATAATAATGAGTAATAATAAATGATTGTGATAGTAGTAGCAGTAGTGTCCATATTAATAGTATATAATGTTTGGCATGGTTATCTTCGCATCTGTACAATATGTAGTTCGTTCTTTTTCAATCATTGAAAGCTCGTCCCCATCATTGTTTTGCATACAGAAATTCACGTCACATTTTGGTTGTTTAACAAATGTGTCCTCGATATTATAATCTATTTATCGATAAACGACATATTAAAGCGAACATAGTAAGATAATAGTAATGTAATAATAATAATAATAATAATAATAATAATAATAATAATAATAATAATACGATGACGATAATGATATAATAATAATTAACAACAACTAACGAACAAATTAAATATATCATAACGCAATTAAAATTGGATCGAGCGTGTATAAAAGGGGGGGGAGGGGGAAAAAAGAACATTTGACAGACGTGTACGCGTATGTTAACAAAAAATGGATTAATGATATTAGCAGCAGCAGTAACAGCGGCGACGATTAGTCTCTAGAGATAAAAATATACGAAAGTTCATTATACGAGACGTTGCTGAAAACGATACCGAATTATCATACGTTATTTTTCACTATCGTCAAATAGAGCGACGAAGAAAAAGAAAAAAAAAGAAGAAAAGATGACAAGGAAATGGTACGGCGGATGGATGGGAGAGAAAGTCGATACATTTTCTTCCTTTTCTTCAAGTGTAATGTAGCATCTCTGATACACCGATTTTCAAACTTCGAATTTTTCATAATTTCAATGCATCGTTGAGGATGGCCTGATGGAACGCTTTTTCAATCATGTAATTCTTCCGAAAATTCTTTTATATATCACGTATGAAAACTAATGTTAATATATATATATA